TTATTAATTACCTTTTTTTAATCCTTTTTTTTTAAGTTTTAAAGATGAGGATACGTCCAGATGTTTCCAATCCATAGCTCTAAAATCTGTTTAGCTTGACCTTTCTTTTGTGAATGATACCTTTCAAATGCTCAAATGGTGCAGGCTTTAAAATAACAGACTTCTCATTAGTTCTTGGTTAAGAACATTTATTAGTGATGACTGCTTCGTGTCTTCTTAAAAATTATTGGATGACCTTGACATTTTTATTGTTTCTTTTCTTTTGACATTGTATTTCAAGTTTAGGAGGAAGCTCTTTCAGTTTTCAGGCTCCTCTCTTGTGGAACCAACTTCCAGTTTCTGTCCATGAGGCTGACACATTGTCCAGTTTTAAGACTGGACTTGAGACTTTCCTTTTTGATAAATCCTATAGTTACGTTTGGCTTGGGTTTCCTGAGCCATCCCTTATTTATGCTGCTATAGGCTTAGACTGCTGGGAGGACAAGCTGACCACATTTCTTCACTATGCTACTGTCTTTATTTACTCTGCTCAACCTGTTCTGTATTTGTAATTATTGTTTCTATTCTTGACATGTGTTTTTGTCTTTCTTTCATAGAGGGTGCACCTGCACCTACATCTGGACCTGCCATTCTGTGTCTGTTTGTCTCTCCTTCCTGTCCTCTCAAACCCACCCGGTCAAAGCAGATGTCCACTCATCCTGAGCCTGGTTCTGCTGGAGGTTTCTTCCTTTTAAAAGGGAGTTTTTCCTTTCCACTGTCGCCTTTGTGCTTGGTCAGGATGGGAGACTGCGACAAAATGAAGATTCAGCGAGTCTGCTGGCTTGATCAGATAGATCATTTTAATAATGGGCTTTTCTATGCATGTGAATGTTCTATTCAGTGCCCTGAGACAACTTTGTTGTGAATTGACGCTATATAAAAAAACTGAATTGGACTGAATTGAAAGTTTAGCCAGATGATGTGAACCATCGGTGTTCCACCAATTTCAGGTTTCTCCAGAGATTTTTCACTGGATTATCATTCAGATTATCTTTATATCAGTTTAGGACAATCAAACATTTTATTTATTGTTATTTTTCTCCAGTCATGTTTCAGTCAGTAAACCATAGGTTGCTTTATTGGTGCAATGAAATATTTTGCAGTATAAATGTTTTGTCTGTCTTCATTTTTTTCTGTCCTCACTAGTCCTAAATCTTTCAGACATACTGCCTCAGAATGATACTTGTATCCCTGTGTTTGACTGTAGGGACAGTATTATAGTGCTCAGGACTAGCTTTAGGAGAAATCACATTCCTCTGGCTTTCATTTTTTACTTAAGGCCATTTATCTCTGATTACTCAATAAGGCTGGGCAGCTACACACAACATATCTGCTGATTGTTCCAAACATCTAGACTTTCTTTCATTCTTGCACAGATTTGTCTTGACACCTTCAATCTATTGTATTTTTTCAACATCACAGCTTGATGACCTTTACCTGTCTTTTCTTTTCCTTATGCCCAATCAACTCAGTCACATGTGCTCCAGCCCAACGGCACATGTACCTTACTATCATGCAGTATTGTGGATACTGTTTAAAGAAAAACACTAAACTTTAAAGTAGTCCTCGCACAAAGACATTGGAAACTTTCAGTATTCAGTGCGAGAGTGCCTTCCTTTATTTGCTTGTGGCAAAACATAATGAGAAGGTTTTTCTCCTTGGGCTTTTAACCAGAACCTTCTGCTTGAAGGTCTCTGCTGGTCTCTGTCACTGCCCCTGCCTCTGGCCTTCACCCACTCCTTCTTTTTTTCAAATTCAGCAGAGTTGAAAGTCAGAGCATTTGTCAGAGCTGGAACATGAATTATTCACTTTCCACAAATGCAAGGCAGCTGCTTCTCAAACACTACATGCATAGTGAGACACAGAAAGTGGGGACAGCTCGCGACGTCTAGAAAGAAGTAACAGGCCACCATGTGTGAGATGTCCAACCAGTGCCTGTCCTCATATGAACTGACCAGCCAAGATGAAACAAAATGGCAAAGGAGGCATTTGGGGGTTCTTTACCCTGAACATCTCATTTGGCTTTTCATGTCTGATAGAGAATTAAATTTGCACTTTGACCATCTTTCACTTGTTTCTGTCACTGTTCCATAAAAGAGCAAATCAAGGATAACAAAACTATACAAATCACACATCACAGAATTAGTGATTTCTGGACACTTCCAGTCATAATTACTGAAGGTGGAGGAAAAAGATACATAAAATCAGACATTGCACGATGTTAGAGAGGTCTTTTAATTAATACAAACGTTTAAAACAGGAAGAATTTAACTATTTGGCATTTATCTTTTTTTTTTAATCCAATTTGATCTGTACATTAAAAATAATAAGTTTTGCCTGATTTGAACTACTCAAAAGGATTTACACTTTTCATTGGTCATGCAAAACGTAAATGCAATATGGAAAAAATAAAATTAATAAAAATGCTTCAATATATGAATAAACAATCAACAACTATCAACAGTTTCCTGCGGGATCAATAAAGTATTATCTTATTTTTAAAAAAAAATTGTTTTTATAAATAATTGGTCCATAATCAGAATAAGCTTTATTATAATTGGACTGAGATAGATCGATAGACAAAGCTTTTCCTTAGTTCACACATTTCCCTGGAGAAATTGATAAGTCCGCCTGTTTCGAGGCCAGCCAGGGAGTCAGATTCAGATAATCACAATTGTTGACTTATTTAGGCAGACTATTTTTTTCCTTGTCAGTTTTTGAGTCTTACTGATACTTCCAAGGTCTGAAATGGATGGATTAGGGTGAAATTCCAGCGTCCTCGTTCTATAGCGGAGGTAGACACATGAGTAGAGATATATCCAGCTGCATGCGTCTTGTCCGAGCAGATGAGGGTTCTCCAGGACCCTGTCGCTTTGTTGAAAAGATGTTGTCATTTGCGTCGAAAGTCCAGTTGGTCAGATCCAAAACCGTAGTTTTCATTTTGGAAGATGTGTAAAAATAGGAGCTGCTCCGATACACAGACAGAGCAAAAAAGCAGGAAGGGAACAGGAAGCGGGGAGAAATGCGTACGTCTCATTAGAGAGCCAGTGAGAAAAAAACAAAACATCCCTACTGTGATCATAAAAGGTGGCTCTTTTTTTAATAGTGTATTTTCAGTTGAAAAAAAATAATAAAATTAATCAGGTTTGTTTATATTTTAAAGTAAGCCATTTTTCTACTGTATGGATGTATTCCTATCTGCTCTAATATTTTATTATGTTACTTCATTTTGGAAACCGGTCCAGCTGAGTGATTGATTTTATATTTAATTGTCAGTCAATACAGAAAAGGACAATACATTTTCATGTTGGATATGTTTAGAAAAGCCGCACATCCCTTACTGCATAACCAACTCGAAAAAATATTTTGCCGAGTCATCTTCTTTCCCAGCCGATCAAAATGATATTTTCAGTGCCAATAAAAAAGAAAGAAACCCCAGGGTTCAATGTGTCTGCTATGAGACCACAGACAGCCTCTGAGTTCTGTAAATGGAAAATTTGCCAAGTGTTTTCTTACAAAAGCTGGCAAACAAGCTGAGATAGCTCTTCACAAAGCTTGTAATAGTATCCTGTGGAGATTTCCTTCTTATTTTTTCCACCATAGTTCATGAATCACAACACAATTCTGTGCCCCTTCTGAGAAGAGTTGCCCCTGTGCAGTTTTTGAAATACTAGTCCAATAAAATTTCAATGCATTTCTTTTTTCATAAAATAAATGGTTAGCAGAAACTGCTGTTCCATTGGTTTATCCATATATTCCTCTACCTTCCTAGATTTACCTCCTTGTCCCTGTGGCTACCACAAAGGGACTTCTGAGATTCGACTGCAGCTTAGGTTTGTCTTTGATGTGTTGTGCTCAGCGTCCTGTAGAGAGGCTCAGAGTTTCTTCTGCACCACGTGGAAATGCACCTCCGCAGCTCACAGAACAGAACCCTCAAGAAAAAGACCAAAACTCAGGCGATGCACATCACTTTTCCACAGTCTGTTTGGATCATTGCACTGGCCTGGAGGCTTTTCATGAAAAGTGGAGTCAACAACTGACCAAGTTCCTGAAGTTTAAAGTGACACAAAACTTTCATTTCTAATAGACGGACAATTCATAATATTTTCACTCTGATGAAAGTTTTAAAAAATTAAAAAGATCATTCCTATTCAAATAAAGAGAAACAGGATTGGAATTCCTTGATTTAACCCGTTCAATAATTTCTAGAGCGTAAACATTTTCATCAACGAGTACTTAACAGTTTTAACCAACTTTCTTTGCATTTGGTGTAAAACTTTGTCAATCTCAGAGTTGTTGCATTTTAATCTCGCCAGCTATTTCAGAATTTATTAGTTGAAAGTAAAAGCACTTCCTTTGACACATTAAAAAGCCTTGTTATGTCAGGTTCAATCTGTTTTGTTATTGCTGTGAAGCCAAGCGCTCATACGCAGTATGCATCTGATTTTATTACACTATTTATTATACACAACTACAATGGACAAATCATAAATAAATACATATCTAAATTTAAAATAAAAGGTAAAACGTTAGTCTGCACAACAACAATTGCATTGTGATGCTTTATTTATGTACTGAAACATTGAGTCTGAAATAATGTCTTTGCACTATTTAATCTAAAGAGGTGATGTCTGCATGGAAACAGCCCTTTTTTTAGATATTTAAATGCAAGTGTGAACTTTATATTGTTTAACTTTATTTTATATGAAGTACATGGTGGGTGCAGTAGTTAAAGCTGTAAGGAGTTTGCCGGTTTGTGACCCATCTGGGGCCTTTCTGTGTGGAGTTTGCATGTTCTCCCTGATCATGCATAGATTTTCTGCAGGAACTCAGTTTCCTCCCACAGACCAAAACCTTGCATGTTAGATTAAATGGTAATTCTAGTTTAAATGTTTGACGTCAAGCTGTTTCATTGTTAACCTGCAGGTTGCGCTTTAAGTTGAACATGAATGACTGCTCACCTTCTCTTCTGTTGACTTTAGCAAACACTGGCCCGTGACTGCTGGACAGCTGAGAAGAGCTCCTGAAGGATGATGGCGGCAGACTGGCCACTAGTGGACTGTCACACACCTCTGTTAACCAATCACACAGCAGAAAAAATAAATAAATATCAATGTTCAACGAAATGAATCATTTTATCAAGCTTAAAATGTACAGTTATACAGCAGTTTGTTTTATCGCTGAATAGCTGGGACTAAAATATATTTTAATTTTTCTCTATTGGAAAGGTTAAACCTGAATTATTAGGCCTCCATTAAACACTAGACTGAAGTCATTGTGAGTTAGGAGCGGTGATAAAGGCCAGCGAAGGAAACAGACAGCATCGATTCATTTGAGAAAAGAAAGTATTTTAATGTCTCGCATGCTTAGTAAGTGAAATGTCAAGGACAAGAAGTATTATTTAGTCAAAATACAATAAGTTACTCACGAACAGCAAATTAATGCAAATTAATCACTGTTACATTGAAAAAAAAATAATTATTAATGATAAAATATAACAATGTACATGTACACAGATGCACAAACAGCTTTAAGGTATTGATATTTCAATTTGGACTTTGCCTTTCAAATGGAAATCCTCAAATCATAAAAGTAGGAAAACAACAGGGTGATAATGAATGAATAAAGTATAAGAATGTTTGAAAAATTTAAGCTGTAAATAATTATATACAAAGCTGTATATCATGGTACTCACTTCTTAGCACACCAATAAGATGATCCCATTATTTACAGTGGAAAAAGATGTCCGATTAATGGTCTAAGATAATCTGATTGTTGCAGTCATCATCTTAAAATAATTAACTGAGAAGTTATTGTGTAACAGTTGCTCTAATTAGAGCAATTGAATTAACACAACATAAAGATTTATTCAATGTTACAAGAGCACGTACTCTCATATCTGACACCCTAAGGATACTTGCAGACTGAACACAACAAAAGCCTCTGAAACACATTTCGGTGGCTTCTGTTCTGCAACAATGACTTCTTGCTGCACTAAGCAAAGTGCAGCTGTAACTTGGTGAGTTTACAAGGTGCTACAGTTGTAGTTCAACAAAAAAAATTATATATATATATTTATATTTTTATATATATATTTCTCATTCAACCTTTTTTTATACAGGCTAGTCTCATTGAGCCACGAGAACCCATTTACAAGAGGGACCTGTTCCAGACTGAACATATAAAGTACAGGCAACAATAAAGTGTAAAAACACTGTTAAAACGTATTCACATAGCAAACAGAAGGTTTCTATCTGCATTTGTCTTTTTTTCCTGTTCTCTCAAAACCCAACCAGTCGAGGCAGATGATGTCCACCCTGAGCCTTGTTCTGCTGGAGGGTTTTATTTTAATAAGAAGTTGCTTATTTTTACTTTCACCAATGTGCTGTTCGGGATGGGAGATTGTGACAAAGTGAAGATTTGAAGCAATTTGCTGGCTTCTTAAATATAAAACTTTTACTAGCTGGCATTTGAATTAATTGGTGCGGTATAAATTGACCAAATTGATTTGATTCCATCAGTCCAGACACAAAGGCCAAAATGGAGGAAACTTTTCATTCATTCATTCAACCTTTATTTAAACCGTTAAATCACACTGAGCCTTGAAGACTCATTTACAAGTGAGACCTGTTTGGACAGACAATAAGTGGTGAAAGTGACAACATAGGTTATGTGGAGGCAAAAAAAAAATCCTAAAATGCTCTTAATCTTTGACTGAAGATTAAAAGCATGAAAATGAAAAAATCCTCACACACAAGCACATAATGATGCCGAGATTCTGCCGGGGGGGGGGGGGGGGGGTGAGCATGTCCAGAGACAACCAACAGAGGCACTGCACATTGTTCCCTCTGGCGGGAGCCATACACTCTCAGGGGAAGAGGTGCTGAGGATGGCCAAGGACAACGTCAGAGATAGAATCCAAAAAGTCCTGAAATGATGACAGAATGTTTATTCAGCCGGGTTCCTCTGACTGGTCCATAGACTTCCTTGGTGGGAGGTGGGAGGGGCAGAGCATCAAGGTTTACAGAGCTTCCAGGCGAATTAAGATAAGGTGGCCTTTCAAGACCAGTCAGGGAGCCAAATTCAGATAAACAGTTGTTGTGTGGACAAGCATAACTTTACTGATTATGTCTACCTTGAGCCTGTGTCGGTCCTCTCGGTTCCAAAACGTCCAAATTAAATGGCCACACCAGTGGACCGTGACTGAGAGTAATCCCCGAGATCTGATCCACCCTGCCAAAAGCATTTGAGTCTGGGTGCTCGAGGCACGAACCAAGCCATCACATAATGCAGGAAGCCTGACCAGATCCAAATTTGCTGCCGACAACTTCCTTGTTTGTTGAAAGACCAGGAACCAGCCGAATCCAAAAAGCAGGAAACCAGTTATCATAAATCCAATTGTAAATGCATCTTTAACATCCACGATTGACAGCAGAGATAGACACGTCATCAAGTCTTCCAAGTCGATGATATATCCAGCTGTGTGCATGCCAACAGGGCAAATCAGCTCTCCTGAAGCCTGTCTGCTCTTCGAAGAAATGTTATCAGTTGTGTTGAGGGACCAACTGACCAAATCCATAGCTGAATTAGGATTTGTAGAAGATAGGCTCTAAAGCAGTTTCATAGGCAGGACAGAGGCAAGCAAAGCGAAGAGGGAGAGGAGGGGAAATGTGTCCGCCCTTGACAAGAGCAAGTGTTGACATTTTTATTGTGTAGAGTTCTCTGAACTGCGTCGAGCAGGAGATCAACTTTAGCTCTCAAACTTGTGTTTCTGTGCGTCACAGAACTGCAGCTGTCTGAAGGTGAGATGAAGGCAGTTGGTCCTTTGCACCCCATGTCACACACACACAAAGAAGGTCTGCTGATGGGTGAAATGAGAGGAGTTGAGAGTGTCACTGCATGGCTTAAAGATGGAGGGCGCCAGCAATAAATGTTCACACAGGGCACTGAACCAAATGTCTCCACTTTTTTGTTCATTTTTGTAGTCATTCTAACTCCTCCAGCTCTCCTCTGTCTATTGCAGCTCATCTCCCTCAACGCTGCAAGAAATGTTGCGTCCTGCACATTTTTTATTTGCCCTTTATCACTTTTTGTGCATAGTGTGGGCTTTAACCACCTGTCTATTCAAATACACGTTTTTCCACACAATAAATTTAGTTTGCACAATAACACAAATCTTAATGTAAATGTCTCCAAGCTGTTTAAATTAAACTGATATTTTCTGGAGGTACATAGTTGCAGATGTATACAGGTTCACCTCCAACCTGAGGCCATTTTGTCTGTTCTGCCTGGGCACACGTGAGTTTTCTCCAAGTACTTTGGTTTTCTCCCACGGACCAAATGCATGCATGCTCGGTTAACTTTTAAGCACGTAAATGGTTGGTTGTCTCTATTCAAGTTCAAGTATCTTTATTTTCATTTGCTTCACATGTGGTACATGAGGTAGAACAAAACTGAGTGCTCAGGGTCCCAGTTACACCCAAAATAGCAAAAATATAAAGTATAAAGTGAAACAGTATATAAGGAGCTGTTTACACTAAAATGCTAAACAATGTGCTGAAAGATCTGAGATATACGCTAAACACTAATAATGTAAAATAATACAGTATATTAAACAGCAGTCCGAACATGAGTCTGTAGTGAGTAGATGTGAGTCGATATGGACCTGAGACCTGTCCTGTTCATTGTACACAGTTTTTACTTTGCTTCTGAGTTAGAAGGTGACAGTGAATTGTGACCTTGGTCAAATGCAGGGGATTCTCAGACTGTTAAGGAAGTGTTGTGCTCAAGACCACCTAACAAGAGACCAAGTCAAAACCAAGACCAGAGCATATCGAGGCCGAAACAAGACCAAGACTTTTAGGGTCCAAGACTAAGTTGAGACCAAGATGTCAAATAAAATCAATTTTAAAATGATTTTATTATAAAATATTTTTTATAAAAGTTACATACTGCAACTTTAAGTTTGCTTTTGGATGAATATATTAGCTTTTATAAATTTTCAAAGCTACAAAACAAAGAAATCAAAATTACACAGCTGTTAAATTGGAAGCAGTTTCATCACATGCCAAGCCTTAAAAAACTGGCAAAACACTCTTCATAAGTCTGAACTCAAGACCAAGCATAACCATATAGTTGCACAGTGGTTTCAATAAAGTAGTAGATACACCTAAAAAAAGTTACATAAATGGATATTAGTTACAAGTATATTATTTGTGATTTAAATAGCCACATTTTATAACTGATGATATGGCAGACATCTTCTCCTGCGCCCAGACAATCACTTCTCACTTTCTTGGAGTGACCAGTGTTGCCAGATAGAGTTGAGGTTTTCCAGCCCAAAAATGTGTTAAAAACCACCACATCACAAAAAAAATCTGCACAATCAATATATTGTTACAGTATATTTACTGTTTGAACATGAACACACATCAGTACAAGCCAAAGTAATTTAACAATTTGTGGCAAAACGCAACAATCCAACAAAAATCTTCCCAGAGTTCCCAGCAAAATCAGAATGAAAACCGTCAAATTGGCAGTAAACCACTCAATCTGGCAACACTGGAGTACTCGTACAAGAGGGCGTGACAGAGGTAACAAAAACATGCATTTAGCAACGAGTCACGTTGACAAATAAACTGGACAATATTCTGGCAATTTAGTGATATATCCACAGTTGTGGTCTTGAAATAAAATCCCGAGTCCTCAATGTCCGAGACCGAGACAAGACAGAGACCAAATGCAGTCGAGTCCGAGACAAGACCAAGACCATCAAAAAGTGGTCTCAAGATGGGTCTCGAGTACTACAACACTATGTTAAGGTATCTGATACAATGACAGGGTCGTTTCATAAATTAATCTGTTGTTAAGAAGCAGATTTCTCCAGGGGAACTGGACTTGGGCAAACACAAAATTCCACAGGTCACAAAGACATAATGGATTACAGTTTCCTGTCAATTTGATTAACTAAGTATTAGTCCCTGGATTAATATATCTAGACTCATGATTAGCGTCAGCAGCCATGCAACCTTGACTTGGGATTTTTTTAAGGCTCATCTTCTACTGAAAACATAAAAATGTGGTCATTTAATCTGCATCAGTTTGCTCTGACCTTAACATTGTTCTCTAAGGCATCGTGTGATGAAGCATGAAGGGCAGGAAAACTTTGCAGACAAGACGTCTGTCACATTCAAGTCAAACAGAATTCACTCCGAGGTTTATGTTCTCCCACTGCTAAGCAGCAGCTTATTGAAAAGTAATAAATTCTGATGAGACAGGGCTGTTATGAAGCAGGGAGAAATTTAAATCATCGTTTTTTTTTTTCCCCCAGCATATTTTATCAACTTTTCTGTCTAGCTGTAGACTAGAAGAGATTAATTTTGAGCACATCGGAAAAAAAAAAAAAACACCTTAAGTTACTCCCTCGGCCTCAGCTCAAATAATCAAAAATCCAACCAACAGTTTTAACGGCCTGAGAGAAGCAAACCCTGATGCTTCTGCTGGTGTGAACATACAAATGAAGCAAAATTGTAAAAATAAATAAATTTTTAAAAAAAAGACTGTAGATGGGCACTCATGGTGGTTACTGTGCAAACAGAAAACTGAACAAGTGCCAACAGAGAAGGTCTCTGAAGAAATCATCATCATAATGATGATGATACTCAAGATCTGCATGACTGTGGCGACAGTCATCATTAAGATTAAAGTGATTTATCCAAACGCTGATCTAAATTATTTTCCAACAAGCTACCGTTTGCAGTCATGATTTTTAATTTATTTAATTATTTTGGGCTCACAAGCACGTAACTCAAGCAGACGAGTATATCAGTTATTCATCATTTTGAACGATAAGGCATGTTTGGCCAGTGGTTGGTGAATATCAGCCAACTCTCACCAATTATAAACGACCCCACCTGAATAAATTTGATCAACTCAGTATGAATCAACGGTTTAATGTCCTTGAAAGCCATTTCCTTTCAACAACAGCAAATTAAAGCTGACGACATGTCACATGCAGCAGTGCCTTTATGCAACAGGAAATACTAGTTTAGGTTGATCCTTAAAAACTTCAAGCCATATAATAAAACTTCTACTAAGCCAGAATTAGCAGATTATTGATGTCTCTGTGTTTACTTGCTTTTGTATTGTCAGTTGCACAAACCTTGTTGCTGCTCTGCTGCCTCTTGGTTCAGTTTTCAGATTGAGCTCTTTGTGTATAAAGTTTGAATGTTTATCTTGTACAGCTTATGCCTACATTTTTAAGTGTTTTAGTTTGTTTTTTTTTCACACAGCGTCAGGAATCGCTGCTCTTTGTGACTTGTTGTGTTTAAAAGTTGCTGGAATGCTGGCAAACCCTACTTTCTCCCCAGAAAACAAAATTAAAGGCCAGAGTGATACTTGTGCATGGTCTTCTTTTGGCTGTTCCCTCTTCAGGGGTCAACACAGTCAGTCATCCTCTTCTACCTCACTCTATCCTTGCTCCAGCCACCTCCATCTCCTCTAACTGCATCCATACGTCTTCTCTTGGTCTTTTTACTGGCAGCTGCATTTCTAACATCCTTCTAACAATATACCCACAGTCCCTCCTCTGGACATGTCCAAACCACCAGTCTGAACTCTCTTAATTGTATCCTCACTGTTCCACCTGCCTCCTTTCTATTCCATTCACACATCATGACTACAGAGAAAATAATTTCCCGATTTGTCGACCTAAGCTACAAAATTCACTGCCATTTCTTTTAAAAATGGTTTGGGACTGTTTCACAAGCTGTGTGACTCTCTTTAATCTGCTTTATTTGCTGCTTCTCACTCGGTGGCCAGCCATACGACTAAGGATAAAATGTATATAAATAACCCTGCCGTGACGTTTGAGTTAAAATATTAGCAGGTAATGAAGAAAAGTTAGTGAGGTCTGCTTTACAGAGAATAAAAAAATGTCAGATGATGAAACACGGTATTGATTTAATAAGATTTAGGGTCAATTCTAGTCAATGAAACCCTCCTTTTTTCAAAGCCGTCTTCTCAAATGACCAGTAAAGCTAAGAAAGCAGCACTCATTGATGTCCTCTGTTCTCTGTTTTACTCCCTTATCCATCGATTCTTACAATCAGTTTCAGTGCTGCCTCCGGTTGATTTAACACATGAATGAAAACATTCGGACACTGTGATTACAGTAAGGGGGACACTCATTAGATTTCACTGAGCCACTTCGACTGTGTAAATCCTGAATCTATTCATTAAAACCTCCCGTGAGAAAACTAACAGCTCTCATGGCTCTCAGGCTCAATAACAGCAGGGAATTGGGGATCTAACAAATCAGTTCCAGCAATGATTAAATAAGTTCTTTTCAAAGGTTTCTTTTTAAACCATCCCCTCACTCAAGAACCTACTTTTCCAATATTTTTTTCTGGAACCTTATTTGAGTGTAAAACTGGCACAAGAGAAGCAAAAGCATCTTCCCTCGGTGGATCTTTCCAGCATCTCTCCTGACTGACAGTATCTCCCTCTCATCTTTGCTTTCCAGAAAACATCAAACGTTTAAAAAAGACAATATAAAAAGGCAAGCTGAGGGATTTAATATCTTTTAAAACAGACATCCTTCAGTCCGCAGAGTAAGTCTTTCAAATGTAAGTCCTCACGGTGGTCAAATCAACTGTAATAACAAAGACTAAACCATTTCATAGCAAACTTGGAGAAACAGGCTGTTTGCATCTGCTGTTGAAGACCCTGTCATGAAGCTGTATAAAATTAAATAAATGGGTAAAAGGTTGAAATTTTCCACTTGGAATTTTTTTATTCAACCTTTATTTATACAGGCTAGTCTCAATGAGCCACGAGGACTCATTTACAAGAGACACCTGTTTCAGACCGTATTGTATTGAAGTACAAGAGCTGGAATTATATCAGTAAAGTTTTAAGACCAAAGTTGAACCGTTTTTTTAAGCATGGGTTAGCATGAGATTATGATAACTTTGAGCAAAAGCTCTTTTTTTTTTTTTTCAAAGAATTTTAAAACAACGCACCACTTTTTTTTCTTATGATCAGAAAACACAATTACTATTTGTTAAATGTTTTCTATGTTAAAATGCATTTAACCCACTAAAATATGAAGTAGTTTTGACATCTTAACTTTTTGGCTTGACCTTGGTACAACTTTGGCACGGGTAATGCCATGTAGGCTTTATTTTACAGCAATTTATCATTAAATTTTAAATCCTTCACATTTTTATATACATTTATTCTTGAATGTGATTGATAGAATCTTCTCAGACTTTACTGACAATGAAAACAAAAATAATATTTTCAATTAGTCATATCTTTTCTCAAAGGATGGAAAAAACCGATGTATACTTTTTTTGGTCTTATTTACCTAAAACTTGTGAACAAATAAACCATTGCTGTTAGTGAAGACTCTTAAAGCAGCCCAGGTACATTTGGATTATAAAGCTCCCCACTAACAAAGAACCCCCTCAGCTCGGACAGCACCAGATGCGCACAGATCTGCTCACCTTCTCCATCTGTCCCACAGGAGCCGAGCAGCACGGATGAGATGAACGCAACAATCCCAGCGAGTTTTTTACTCCTCAAAGACATGTTCAGACCACAGGAAGGTGGAGGGTGTAATCCCGCTCGTGCTTCAACCTCCTGCTTTGCTCCTCAGCACTTCTCTCCAGCTCCGCTCCGGTGCGTGCGCTGCAGCAGACCTGCAGCAGCGCGTGGAGTCTGGCCAGCAGCCGGTGACAAGGAGGGATGCTGTCCCGAGTCGAGTGCAGCATGCAGCAAGGAGGAGAGAGGGGCTTATATGAGGTCGTCTCTGGCCAGAGTGCAGACACCTCTCCTGCTGAGATCCTGAAGCAGCTCAGAGTTTCAGTCAGAACTGGTTTATTGTCGCCACAACGCACTGAGAGCATGCTGTGTTTAACTCTTGGTTAGCTGCCACATCCAGATACAAGCAGCAGAACTTTAAATTAAACTAGATTACATTAAATGATCGAAACAACACTTACATGAGTTCTGTTTGTCTGTTTGCTGCAAGCTTGAGTTTGTTGTAGCCTATAGAGAGCAGGGTGTCCTAAATGTTGCAACATTTTCTTATTGCAATTTAAAAAAAAGCATCTGTGTTGTAAGATGAAGATGTACAAATATGTCATAGCTCTGCTCTCTGTCAGCTCCTCTGTCATGCTGCACACTCAGTAATCACTCAACTCATCTCACCTGTCACCGCTCATTATCCCACAGCTCCACCACCTGGTCCAGTCAGTACTTAAGCTCACTCATTCCTCTCAGTCTGGGCCAGATTCTCTATCCTGTCTCATCAGCAGTAGACTTTCCAGCATTCATTGATTGACTCATCACGTTCATGACCCTTGCCTTGACCACGACCACGCTTTTGCCTCAGCCCTCGTCTGTTTTTGCTCATCTGATCAGGTACCGACTCATGCTCTTGTTTTTTGACTCTCTTTTTGGATCACGTACTGGATACTTCTGCTGAACAACTGACTTCACGGTATGAACTCTGCCTTTCCCTTCTGACTGTTTTTTGGATCACGGATTAAAGGTCAAGCTCATTCTGTATCACGGACTTATCCTTACCCCTGAATCTGATTCCCACAGATTCATTTCCCCAATTAGTCTTTTTCCCCCTGCATCTACTAACCTTTATCTTTTAGTTGCAAGCCTGTTGGACTCCGTTCCAGTGGACCTTAACATCAGTTCTACTTCTACTGGCAGCCCGCCACTTCAACACTACCCAATCTCGAACTACCAATCAGAAGATCGGAACCAGCCCGGAACCGGACCTACTCCAGAGTTTTACTTTATTTCACAATAAATCTTTTAACCCTCTCAGTGGTTGTTGTTGTTGTTTGCGATCCGGCCTCTGGTTCATGACACAAATACATAAATTTGCAGCATTTTAAATCTTTAAAATGCAAGCAGTATTCTTTGACACTTCCGTTTTAAAGCTCAAATCTCGATATTCTCACTTTAACATGATTACCGTTTACCAAACCCAGAATAAAAAATTTTAGCACAGTTGATGTTAATTTAGTGAGCGTTTCATCACTTTCCTGAGCTAGGCTCGAACACTCATGAGACATTGACAGGGGGAGAAAAACCTCAGACATTGGAGTCAAGTCCTCCTCAACGGGTGCTGATGTTGAAGGGCCAGCTGCTGGTAGTTTGTCCTCCATCAAAGCAGATCCAAGAATAGATTCAGTCAAGTTCACTTCCTCCAGCTTTCGAGCTTGGGACCTGGTATAACACTAACAGCAAACGCATCAGGGTGGGATCTCAACATCTCATCTTCATCCTTCATGCAACTGGGTTTATCCACCACCTCAGGAATAGGAAGTACCTTGTCCCCAGCAAGATCATTTCCCATTATAAATTCAGCCCCTTGAACGGAATCAGTTTCTCACCGCAACCTTGAAGAATCCAGAGGCCAACTTGGACTTTATGTGAACATGATGTAATGGTGCCGGTATATAGGCCATCCCAATCCCTTGTACTATTGTACTTGCATTGCAGGATGTATTGGCATTAAATAGCAGGAGGTTGAAAAGGATGAATGATTGGGAACCACCAGTGTCCCTCAGTATCCTGACTGGCTTCTCATCCTCAGTCCTGTCAGGGAAACGAAACCATCAAAAATGAAGGGCTTTAAACACTCACCAGGTTCCTTCAGGTTTGATAGATGTGGGGAGGATCTCAAAGTCTTGACTAGGCCAACCCCTTTTCCTGGTTTTGGTGATTGAGGTACCTGTTTATGTTTCAGGGCCAAACAGTCAGAAACTATATGTCCCATTTTGTGACAATAAAAACATTGTCTCTCTGACTTAGAAGTTGAAGTACTCTTGACCTGAGACTGTGACCTAACTTCTTTCCATGTCTTGTCACGAGAGGATGGTTCAGATTTGCTCACAATAACATTTTTTATGAGTAAGAGCAAATTCTTCTGCCAGGACAGCTGCCTCCTGTAAAGTGGTAACATTTTGCTCATTCCGGTACAAAACTGTGCGATCTGGAAGACAGTTTTTGAACTCTTCCAACAATAACAATTCACGTAGTGAGTTAAAATCAGTAGCTTTGGTTGCCTGGCACCATCTGTCAAATAGCATTCCTTTTTTCCCTTGCAAATTCAACAAATGTTTGTGCAGTGGATTTCCTTAAGGCTCTGAAACATTGCCTATATGCCTTAGGCACCAACTCGTATGCCCTGAGTATGGCAGCTTTAACTTTGTCATACACAAGACTGTCTTCAATTGTAAGCGCTGCACATACTTCCTGTGCCTTACCAACCAGTTTGCACTGCAGTAAAAGGGACCAGACCTCTGTGGGCCAATGCAGGGCAAAAGCAATACGCTCAAATGCATTAAAATATGCCTTCACCTCAGTCTCTCGGAATGGTGGGACTAGGGCAATATTTTTACTTATGTCAAATGTAGAAGGTGCTGGAGAAGAGGAAGGTTTGTCTGACAAATTATTGACATTGTCTACATCTCTAGTATAAGTTGGCGCAGTTGAGTCAGTGGTCAGTTTATGAGACTGTAACTCCAGCTGACGCATTCTAACAGCAGTTTCAGCTTCTATTTGATGGCATTTAAGCTTAATTTCAAGTTCATCCTTGCATTCCCTTTCTCTGGCTTCCAGTTCAAGACGAGCCAGATGCACCTTTAAATGGGCACCAACACTGGGATTTGTGGACTCAATAGAAAAAGGCTCAAACCGTGAGAGAAAGGCTGGTGGTTTACCCCTCTCTGGTTTTTCAGCAGCAGGTGTCCTCGTTCCATCCTCAGCACAAACCTCAGGCTGATCAGCAGGTTCAGAAGATGAGGTGGCATCCTCTTTATCCGCTTCCAATGAGAATACTCAGTTTTTGACCAAGCTACTAAAGACAAGAGATTTTAATTCACTTTTGAGCATAGATTTAGATACAGAGATGCCATAATGTGAAGCAATTGCACATAAATCATCTTTCCTACAGACATCAAACTGTTGTAAGGTAGGATTCCTTAAAAAGTTCTCCATACTAAACTGTGCCATGTTCAAAATAATCCCGGACGAGCCCCCACTTATGTTACAACCTCCTCAAAACAACAAATGGTTAATTACTGGCACTAGGTGTAAAACAAAAAACTAGCTGTTGATGTCAGTAAAAGAACAGTTTTATTTTAGACAAAACACCCCCTTTCAACTATAAAAATAAAATACCACTAGCTAAAAGTAAACTTAAAAGTACAAAGGCTGAGCTCCCTAGCTATCCACAAAACAGGAGAAAAAGGTTTAGAACAAAAATGGCAGAGAATCCCTATCAGCTTCCACTGTGAAAGCAAAACACTTTCCTTTACAGCTATTCAATCAATTGCTCACACAGTACTTGTATTACAACAACCTGCCCAAAAGTGTACACAACACAGACAAGATCACTGCAGATCAAGGCCCAGCAAAAAGGGGACTGCCACCTCTGAGATGAAGCTCTTTATGGAGTGGTTGATGAGCTGAAACACATCTTACCTGTGGCAGGCAGGTAACTCTGAAACACAAGAAGAAGCAGCTCTCTCATGAAGAGAGCCCCTAGAGGTCAGTGAGCATAATAGAGGTCAGTGACTATAACACAAACCAACAAGGAAAAGACTCCATTCAGGTATAACGGTAAGTGGACACTGGAAGGATCTGTGGGAGAACGACAAAGATGAGTATTTGGATCCACTGGAGTAGTCGAGTTGTAGATGAATAAAAGCGTGGTCGTCTTACTTTGTTTCACTGGCTTGGAGAGGACATGGAAAAATTCAGAAGCAGCCAGCGGATCACCATGGAGGCAGGTGAGTACAGGTGGTGTGAGAGTGGCAGGATGGACTCAGACTGCAGTGTCTCTTTCTGGCTGTAAATCCTTGACCAGGAGCACAAATTATCAGGGTGTAATCTCACCAGGGCAATGGACATGAAGAACACCAGGGTCTCGAGGAACGTGAACCATGAGCTGAAGAGCACAATGAAAATCAAGTATAGTCAGATTAGATTAGTGCTAAGTCTTTCCCAAAATGCATGAAATGTTCCAGAGGAGAGAAACTGGTACCCAGGGCCTCAAACACTTGGTCTCATCAGCCAGAATCAGGAACAGCTGGTGCTTTAATGTCACCCTGCCGCTCAGGAAATTGCAAAGTGTGGTTAGCAGACAAGAAAGTAACAATCCCCACATTAAGTAAGCTTATACAACTAGGCATAATGGACATAAGGGCACAATAACTTACTCGTACTTTGTGTTATTGTGACAAAAGGTGTCCTGTTGCACAAGTAGTATTTTGTGCATATTTGATGTAAAACCCTAAAACCGTGATCTGTGCCCAATAGACCAGTTTGATGTGCAATAAAGTTTGAAGGTACAGCGAGAACATTATCATATATATCTAATAAATGTTTTTGAAATGTGATTTTTCTTATGGAAATAATCATTTCAGTGTATTTCTGTCATTCAGTCAACAAAAACATTTTCTTCAGTCAGACAAAATATGTTTTTTGTCCAAATAAAATATCCTACCATGTTAAAAAAAACAAGAAACAATCAAAACTGACCTTTTAAGTTTTAATTTTACAAATGATGTTGCTTCATGCAATTCATGAACTTCTTACCCACTCAGG